CGCGACACTTGGGCGGGAAATCCATGGCGATCAATCGGGCGACGCGGTGGGTTCCTTCAACAGGTGAGGGCCAACTGCGGATTGAGTGCCAGGTTGACCCGCGCCAGGAGACGATGGGCGTGGTCACGTCTTCAGTCATCCCTGAGACGGCGTAGACGTTGGGCGAGTCACTAGTCGGATCCGGGCATCTCCAGGAGCGCGGTCACGCGACTGGGCTTTTGGGTGCCTGGCCGTCCTGACATCCTGTTCGCGGCGACAGAGGCTGCCCGAGGTATGGCTCGACCTACCGTTCTACGCCAACGCGTGCTGAAACGGTGCGCGCGCTGCCTGATCTGCGCTCTCCGACGCTGACGGGGACATGGCGACGCCAGAAGTTTCCGAAGGCCACCGCGATTCTGAGCGACGCGGACTGGGCTGGATGCCCCTTGATTCGGATCTCAGCGGCCTGATCATCGGAACCCTGGGGCCCATCCCATCAGGGAAGGGCCTGTGGTCCCTCGACCCAGGATCATTTTTGCACACGGGCATCTTGAAGTACCGCGCAAACTTGGCAGATGGTATGCCCCTTGCCAGGTCAGTGGGTGTTTTTTTTTGGGGGAGGGGGACAAGATTCTTGCGGGCCATCTAGAAAGCCTCTGCCTCTTGGGGGCTGGCTGCCGCCCCCCGTGGCGGACCGCCTGGCTTTGGCCAGCCCTTGGCTGCTGCTGCTGCCGCCGCCGCTGCCGCCGCCCCCCGCCCCCCCCCCCCCGGAAGCTGGCGAGCGCGCGGCGACCGGTGGCGGTGGCGCCGCGGGCCTGGCTGCCGCCGCCCGCGGCGGACCGCCTGGCTGGGGCCTGCCCCTGGCTGCCGCGGCTGCCGCCGCCGCCGCCGCTTCCCCCGCGAGGCCGGCGCGCGCGCTGCGGCGGCTAGTGCGCGCGGCACCGGCAGCATGACGACCTGCTCGAGCGTGGCCTGCAACACGACTGCATCTTCCACCACCTCGACGTCCAGTGCTACGTTGTCTGGCAGACGCCTCAAACGACCGGCGGTGCAACGTCGGGCAGCACGGCCACGACTAGCACGGTCTCGTGCTGTGCGACTTCTACGGCCACCTCCACGGTGGGCCCCACGACTTCAGCGCGCTGCTGCGTGAGCGCGGTCGAGGCGAGCTGCGCTGCCCAGGCATTTCGACTCCGTGCCCTGGGGCACTCTCGTCGCCTCGGCCGGATCCCCGTCGAAATTATGGGTGCTTCGTCTTCGCTCAACCCAGAGCGGCGGGTTGCCGCGACCCTGCATCCACGCGGGGAGCAGCTGAGACTACGGGCACGGCACCTCCTCTCTACACTTCAGCAGCGGTCAGCGGCGTCCCTGGATGTACCACCACACACCCCCCATGGATGCGTCGGCCTTCGAGGTGCCAGCACTGCCCTCAGCGAGTCAGTCCACGGGCTGCAGACTGCCCACCCTGGACCACACCAGCAGTGGACGAAAATATCGACCGTTCGGTATTACCTTCCTCTCAGCGGCGGTTAGTTGCGACCCTGGATGCACGCGGGGGGCAGCTCTGACTACGGGCACGAGGCCTCCCGCGGGAGCTCGAGGTACTCTTGCATCCCAGTGCTGTCGGCCAAGTGCCGTCTGCCGCCCCCCCCCGTGCGCGCTCCGTCTGCAGAGACTACGGGCACGAGGCGTCCCACGGGGGCTCAGGGTACTCCTGCATACCGGTGCTGTCTGACCAGGGCCGTCTGCCGCCACCCTCCGTGGGTGCTTCGTGTTCACCCAACCCGGAGCGGCGGTTTGCCGCGACCCTGGGTCCACGCGGGGAGCAGCTGAGACTACGGGCGCGACACCTCCCGTCCACACTTCAGCAGCGGTCAGCGGTGTCCCTGGATGTACCGTGTGGGGACGATGGCGTCGGCTCCCCGACAGGCCCAGTTCGATCTCGCGACCGCCGCCCTGCAGCCAGCGCTGGGCCCCCCGCTGCTGTTCCAACAACAGGTCGGCGGCATGGAGACCTTCGGCGCAGCCTCTCCGGGCTGCCAGTCCTGCTGCACGACGGGGCAGCGCGGGCAGGCGTACATTGGCCAGCAGCCCGGCGCGTGCTGCAGTGTCTCTCCGGCGCCCATGTGCTGCCCCCAGGCGCCAGAACATCAGCGGCGGTTAGCTGCGACCCTGGATGAACCAACGCACACCGTCCCCACGGAGGTTCCGGCCTCCGCGGTGGCAGCCCAGCCTTCAGCGTGTCAGTCCACCGGCTGCAGGCCGCCCACTCTGGACCACACCAACATCGGACGAAAGACCTACCATTCGGTACTACTTTTTTCAGCGGCGGTTAGCTGCGACCCTGGATGAATTAACCTCGGGAAATGGCGGCCGTGTCCCCTGGCCAGGTGCATCTGGGGCCCGTTCGAGGGGCGGTGATGTTCGTCCCCGCCGCCTCTCTCTTCGGGTCCCTCTCGGGCCGGGCCCTGGCTGCGTCCCCCGCCCTCGGCCTTCGGGGCTGCCGTTTCCCTGCGCTTCCCTCGCCGGGCGCCCCCGTGGTGCCCCTCTGCGTGGGTGGTCGGTGGCGTCTCCCCACCGCCCCCCCCTCCGGGTCTCCTTCTGGCCGGGCTGCCGCCAGGCGTGCCGGCTGGTTTCGGTGGTACTCGTCCCCACCCCCCAGGGCTGCCCTGGACCCCCGCTGTCAGTAGCAGCGTTGCTTTACCTTCAGCGGCGGTTAGCTGCGACCCTGGAAGCCCACGTGGAATGGCGGATTCGACGGTGACCCTGGACCCCCGCGGGGAACGGCGGACGCGGCGGATAAGGCCGTCCCATGGTGGCCTTCTGCGTGCACCACGCGGCTGCGACAGCGCAGCTCCGCCCTGGGCGTCCCGCCTGGCTGGCGATGTTCTTCCCCACCACCTTGGCCTCTCGCCGCGCACGGCTCCTGGAGGCACAGCCAGCTCCCAGTGGTTCAGCCTTCGCAGTTTCGGCCGCCCTCCGGGCCCACCCCACCACCAGCTTGGTATTCGGCGCTTTTTCGGCGGAGCAGCTCAGCTGGCAACGCACGCCGTTGGCGCAGCTTGGGCTTGGCGCCCCACTGGCGACGGCCCATCGTTTACCACGTCTGGCCGCCACAGCGCGTAACACAGAATTCCCTGGCATTTTGCCGCTGGGCTGCACGTTGCTTGAGCTTCTCAGGGCGTTCCAGTTCAGCTAGCCAGCCCCCCGCTGCCGCTGCCCCAGCTGCCGCGTTTGTGAGCTGGCCCGGCCGGCTCGTGCTGCGCTCTGTAGCTAATCGCGCCCTGTAGCTAATTAGGCTTGCCGGTCGGCCCGGACACCCTGTTCGCCGCCTGCGCTCTTCGCTTGCGGCCGCGACCAAAAAAGTATCCCCACCAGCCCATCCAGAAACGATGTCCAGGCGAGTTGAGGTGATCAGGGAAGTGCGGCAGCAAAGAGGAGGACGGCCGAACCGTGCAAAGCAGTGGGGAGGAGAAGGAGGAGGTGGATGGATGGATGGATGAGGGAGTGGGAAGAAGGAGGATGTATAGGATGAGGAGGAGGCGGAGGCGGAGGCGGAGGAGGAGGAGGAGGAGGAGGAAGGAGGAGGAGGAGGAGGAGGAGGAGGAGGATGAGGATGAGGAGGCGGAGGAGGAGGAGGAGGAGGAGGAGGAGGAGGAGGAGGAGGAGGAGGAGGAGGAAGAAAAGGAGTAGGAGCAGGAAGGAGGAACAGGAAGAGGAGGAGGAGGAGGGCAAGCACAAGGGCCAGAGGTCTCTTGGATGCCTCTCGGAGCCTCTTGGGCATCTCTTGGGCGATTCTTGATGGTCTCTTGGGACGTCTTGGGGGTCTCTTGGCGATCCTCGGGGGCTCTTCGGGGTCTTGGGTTCCTCGGGGGGAGCCTCTTGGGGCCGCTTAGGGTCTTCTTGGGGGCCTCCTGGGGGCCTCTTGGGGGCCATCTTGGGGCCATCTTGGGACCTCTTGGGGCCTCCTGGGCGCTTCTTGGGGCCAACTTGGAGGAGATCGGTCAACGAAGGGGGGTTCCTTAATTAGCGTCGCCCCCCAGGAGGCCAAAATGTGGCCAAAACCTTAGTAAAATCAGTGATTTCGGCTTCTTCGCCGAGGCCATCTTGGACGCTCCAACGCGTCGCCGCGCCCCTCGTCCAGGTCCAGGGGAGGGGGTAGGGGGAGGGGTAAACCCCTCCCCGAAGGGGAAGAAGGAGGGGTGGAAGAGGAAACTCTCTAAACCACCTACGCCCAGAGGGCTGGTGGGATTGTGTTATCGTTTTTGTCGGGGGGATGTTGCGGTTGGCTTTCTCCCATGTGTGGCCTTGTGGCCTGGCTGTCGCTTCAGGACTGGCCACATTTCTAGCTCTCGATTTTGACTTCACACCAGCGTTGGCCATTCCCTGGCGGGTCGTGCGGTAGGTGGTCCCGTCAGTTGTGGCCCGGTGTCCTGGTTGGTCTCATTTCAGGGCCGGTATCGCTCGTGAGTGTGTTCTCGCATCATTCCCTCACTCCCTGTGGGCTCGTGGGTGGGCTGTCCCCCTATGGCCTTGAGGCCCAGAAGCCCTCGCCCTCGCGCTGGTTATATCGATGGTGTTCTCAACCCAGCGCCAACCAAACTCCCAGGTCGGACTGGTGCCTTTTGGCCTCAGCGCCAAAAGGCCCTGCGCTCGCTACACCTCTTGCGTGGAATGGTGATCTCACCTCAGTGCTGGCTATCTCGTAGTGTTGCTTTCGCCTCAGCGCTGGCCGCGCTCTCAGCTCCGAGATGGCGACAGAGAAACTGGCCGACACAAGAGTAGTGGCACAGACAGGGAAGGCCAGCGACGTAGGCGCAAACAATTTTGTTGTGCGGACACCTGCGGAATAGTCACCTCGAACAGACATGGGCAGTGCAGCAATAGTCACCTTCGGCAGTCACGATCATTGTATGTACATGTTCGTGCCGCTTGCAAGTGTGCGGGGAGCCTTGGCAACGGCACACTCCTGCCTTAGTCGCCGCGCGCCTCCTCAGCGGACCTCCACTGGACTTCCACAGGCACGCGCCCGCCGGCGGCTGGCCGGCTGCTGCCCTTGCTGGGGCCGCCGCCGCCGCGGCCATGCGGGAACGCAGGCCAGGAGTTCTCGACAGGGCGCCCGTTTCGCCGCCCTCGGGCGGAGATGACAGCAAGGGTAATTGAGGTGAAGGGGGGGGCGCGGGGGAAGGAGGGCGGGGGAAGCATGGCGACATGTGCAGGGGCTGGAGGGATGGTGGAGCAGTCGTCCCTGGATAAACACGGCACTGGCCAGGTCTCGCAGCCACAGGTGGGTGTTGATAGTTTTCATGCCTGGCCAGGGGTCCCTCCCATCCTCCGCTCGGGACCCCCTCCCCCCTCCACTACTTCGGTTCTTCGTCCCTCCCTCCCTCTCTCTCTCTCTGTCTGTCTGATTGTCTGTCGGTCTGTCTGTCCGTCTGTTTGTCTGCCTGCCTGCCTGCCTGCCTGTCCCTCTCTCACTCTCTCTCCCTCCCTCTCTTCCTCTAGTGCGCGCTCAAGGGTCCCTCGGACTCTGCAGCACAGCGCAGCCCCTGGCACGGTATCCTCGCCATCGATATCATCAGCATTGCCATTGATTGTCGCCCAGATTGGCTGTCTTGAAACGTTTCCATACCTCACACTTCTACATGGTTTTGCGGGTTCGTGGGTCGATGATGCTACGAGGGATCGTGGCCTCGAGGGCGCGGGACCATATTTTCTACGTGGCCCCAGGCACCCAGAAGCTGAGGAAGCCTGGTGCGGGCGTGGCGAGGGCACCCTTTCGGGCCGTGGGGGGTCGCGCGGTTCGTCAGAAACTTTGAACCTCGCCTGAATATTTGAGCACTTCTGTGATTGAGAACTGTTGTCAGGGAACTCACGGTAGCCAAGTTGCAGAGTTCCTGAGGATTTGCAACGTGGCGAGTCACTCAGTTGTCAGTTGTGATGATAAGCTGCGCTGCTCAGTTACCGAGGCATACCTTCTCCTCAGCTTGGTGGCCCCCGCAAGCAGTGCCAGCGGATTAGACAACTGTTTCCAGCAACCCCTCTGCTCCCGAGCAGGTCCGCCCGGAGCCGGCCCCCCGCCGCCCGCCGAGCCGTCGGCGCCCTGGCGGCTGCCGCTGGCCAGGCCTCCTCCGGGCATGGGAAGCAATGGTTCCCCTCCTCTCTCTCTCGTCCCACACTGCGCCGCTGGTTCGGAGAAGCGCCCTGGACTCGAGGCCCCGAGTCGGGCCTCGGGCAGCGCTCCCAGCAAGGTGTTCCCCCCCGCGGGTCCCGTCCCGCCCGAGGCCGCCAGGGGGCATATTCTGTGCAGAGCTGGAGACAGATCCTCGCCTGCACGAGGTGTGGGTCTTTCTCGGAGCGAGCCGCTCGCTCCCAGCTGTTCGCGGAATGTGGTCCCGCGCAAATGCTCGGCAGTCCCCAGCGCAAATGGCGCAGAGATGATTTCGCCTTGGGCCGTCACCCTAGGGATGGCAACCGGCACCTCATCCCTACGCGCCCCCTAGGCTCTTTTTTGGATGACGCCTCGGTGCAGTGGCTGGGGCGCCTTTCTGTTTGTTTTGGTGTCGTTCGGTGTTGATCGACTTGAGTCCTGGCCAGCTCTCCTGGCCAAGTACGCCGCAGGCCCGCTCATGCGCGCATGTGGCCCCCGTATTAGATTCGATTGCGCTCCCTCGTTTTTCCACCGCTGCCATCGCCCTGCCTCATCCGTCACTCGGCGCGTCGTCTTACGTGGTCGCTATTCCTTGTCGCACCCTCGGACGTGTCGTTAGGGTAGGTAGGGCGTTTTGCTTGAGATTTTCTCACCACTTATGATCCTGAAGCTTGACGTGTGCAACAGCTTCAAGGAAGGAGGGCGGATTATTTTCAAAGTTTGGCTTTCGCTTGAGCGCCGCGCTTATGTGTTTCAAGATTTGGATGCAGGGCGGCTCCTTCTCAGAATGTGGTTCTCGCATTAGCGCCGCGCACAGCCATCTTAAAATTGGCACCAACTTCGATGATGCAGGGCGGCTCGTTTTTCGGAATGTGGCTCTCGCTTCAGCGCTGTGCACATTCGTGTTTGAAGCACCAGGATCATGTTTCAGCACGATTATGGATTGTCAGAACGCAGCAATCTCGTTGACTTGTGGTGTTGAAAGCTTGAGAATTGTGCTATTGCACGATGTTGGACTGTCAGGACGCACCAGTTGCGTTGATTTGCGGCGTTGAAGTCGCAGGAGTTATGCTTTCTGGTACGGCCGAGAATTTTCATACGGTTGTCTTTCAAAGGGGCAGTTCCCACAATTAGTGCATTATTGTGGGGAACTATGAAGACGGAACGTATAGGCAGGGTTGCATTGGGTTTGCATTGGTCTTCCTCATTCTCCTCCAATTAATATGTTCTTCTCCGCACCACCATCCTGTTGCCTTTGCCACGTTTGCTGTTGCACTCATTGGTTATCTGCAGCCAGTCAGACTCGAGAGGTATAGGATAAAGGAGCGAGCTGGCTTGTGCGCGCGCCGAGGGGTCGTCCCCTCATCGTCGTCGTGTCGTCGGCCGACCGGCCTCCTCCCTACCGCGCATATTTCTTTGATCCACTTAACGGAGCATTCTTTCCAAGCCATGGCCTTGTCGGAGTCCCCTGAGCTTTCCTCGCGAAGTCTACCTTCAGGGGAAAAAGAGACTACATCGGAACATATTGCAGGGATAGTCAATATCCAGGCAAGAAGCTGGTTATCAGCCGAAACGATGGCTCAGCCGTTGGCTTCGTTGGGCCTAGGACCAACGGAAGGACCGTTCGGAGGAGCGGAACAACAAAATTGTCCCGAGCGTATAACTAAGGACGGCGCCCCAGGGGGGTGCCCCCCCCCCCCCCCCTCTCAATCTTCCCAGGAGGCAAGCGTCGGAGTCGGTGTTTGATTTCACAGAGGGGGGGTCCCTTATAGATCACCAGTGAAAAGAAATAGTTCAAACGCCAGGCAAGGGGCATGGCTCAGCCAGTGCTACCCACAGAAGGCCATCAGAGGTCGCGCCAGTGCACTCGAACCCGAGAAGATAAGTTCGTACAAGCTACGATGATGGGGAGCCCGCCGAGAAACGCTTCCACCAGCTCAGCAACGGAGACCGCTCCATCAACGGGCAAAAATCACAAGTCACAATGAATGGGCAGGGTGGAGAAGAATGCGACGGGCAGTCGGAGGAAGAGAGCCTGCATGTGATGGAAAAGAACGAGGCAAATGCTCGCTTTCACATGTCTCCTGGTCCGTCGTTTCGCCCGGATCCCCTTCAGAAGTCGCCCGGAGGCAACGCCTCGGGCGGGGGCCAATCGGATGTCGAAACGATTGATTACGAACCAGCTGAAGCCCTCCGAAGGGCAGTCCTTGATTCCGATGAAGACTTTGAGGGCGAAAGGGCGCCGGGAACGGGGCGCTGGGCCGTGGAAGAGGGAGCTCCTCGGCTCAGCCGGCGGGGCATTTAACCGACGCCGCGCGCCCGGCTCGGCACGCAGCGGGACCTGCTGGTGCGGCCCCGTTGCCGAAGACCAGGACAACCAAGAGCGAAACAGGTGATCTCGACCCTCCACCGTTGTCAGAGGGGTTCAATCGACAAAACTTCGGCGCGGCAGTAGGACAACAAATTGAAAGCCTCGTGCCATCGAGAACGGGCCGCGAAAGTGTGCCAGAGCTTACTGAACTTCTCGTGCAATATGAAAAGGGCGAGCAACAGGGCAAGCTACAAGGCACTCGACGGAACGCGGGGTCGAGAATGAGGGGGCGGAACGCGCCGACGCCGAGCGGGGGGCGGGGGGGGGGCCCGAGAGCGGGGCGACCTAGCTCCAGAAGATTTGGCGCCCTTGCGCCCCCTCGCCCGTCGTCGAATCGGACTGCGGGCAGCTTCTCTATCGGGGGGACTTGCTGGGGCGCGGGCCTGGAGCGCCCGCCCCGGGCGGAAAATCGCTGCCCGGGAAAAGCGCGCAAACTGGGGGGGCCCCGTGGGCGACCTGCATGTGCTCGATGCTCTCAAAGTGTGTCCGAAGTGTAGTGTATCGTGGCTCTGCGAGGATTGCATTTCAATGGAAGAGCACAACTCTCGACGCATCGCTATCAAAGAGTGGGAAGAGAAACAGACACGACAGAGAGCAGCTCAGGATAGCAAGCGCACAAGTGCAGCATATCCTTCTTCAGGCACAAGTGGATAGATCGGCCATGGAAGAAGCCGGCCGCCGGCTCGCTGAAGCTGAAGCAGACGAGAAGGCAATGGCGCGCCAAATTGAACGGGGACAGGCCGCCATTGCAGAAGATGCCCAGAGACGTGTGCTGCAAGCGGAAGCAGGAATGGCTGGGCTTGCGAGCGTGGCTCAGCGGCGTCTCGCGCAAGAGGGGGAAGACAAGCGAAGGGTGCAGGGGGCGGCCGAAGCAATGATCTCATCGTCGCAACTACAGGCCGAAAAAGAGCGCGTTGAATCTCAACATGTAGCAGGCGCCGCCAGGCGGGAAGGAGAGAGGAGTTGCCCGAGAACAGGCAGCGCACCAAAATAAGGAGCCCCGTGGCGAACGTAATGCTGCTAAGCTTGAGGCGGAACATATAAATCTAGAAGCGGCGCGTGCGCCCCGTCGGCAGGGTCAGGGGGCCCAGGCCATGAGACAGGAAGACCAAAGGCGAATGGCAGAGGCCTGGCATCACGCAAAGGGGTGTGCAGTTGAGCAGATCAAGAACGATGCGCTCCTCATCCGTGCCGTGAGTGAAGAAAACAGCAGGCTCAAATCTGATTTAGAGCAAAGTAAGAGGGCGAGAGAGCCTCTGGAACACATTAAGATGACAAGGCAGCCCAGCGTGGTTGCTCAGGCTGCTAGATTGACAACTCTGGCCCAGCCGGGAGGTGTTGGATAGCAGGAGAGGGCGGGCTCAGCACTGGCTCAGGCGACGTGCGTTGAGCCTTCCCCCCCCCCCCCCCCCCTCCTAGTCCGATGGCTGCTCGCCCCGCCCGAGCGAGAGCGGCTTGGCCGACCCGACCTCGGGTGGGCACGCCAGATGGGCCTTGTCATGCATGCTGAATGCCTGCCCTTTGGATGTGCGTGGGATGCGGGGGGCCCGCCTGTAGAGGCCATCTTGACGAAAGGGGCCAAGAGATGCTCTGACTGCGCCAGGAGCAATGAGTCCAGGGAACAAGATGACCCCGTGATCATGGCAGAGCAATTGGGCATACTTGAAGACATCTACCGCAACAAGACCGAAGCGAGGAAACTGACGGAACAGGCAGATGAGATGGCGCGGAAACGCCCTGAACGATCGGACGATTTTTTTTTCTTTTTTCTTTTTGTTTTTCTTTCTTGTCCGAAGGCGCCGGCGGCCTTATTAAGAGCTGGAGTATCACCGGGCAGAGTTGGCCGCCATCGGGCAATTCATTTATGCCGCTAAAGCAGATCAATACATTTTGTGGAAGTCAAAAGGGCGCGCATTACAAAAAAAGAATCAGGGTTGGAACGACAGGTAAACGGCATGACTACGGTCATGGGTGTGCCATCCTTTCGGGCCATAGAGTCGGGCCTCGACCCGGTGCCCCCGTTAATGGCCCCGCGCGTATTTGGGCTTCCTCTCTCGAGCTCGCGATTCATTCCGCGGCCAGCTGTAGAGAAACCGCTCGGCCCTAATGAAGGCGCGCTCGCGGCGAACATCCCAGGATCGAGCCCTGGCAATGCCCCATTCAACGCCGAGTTTTCAGGGCCTCCTGACAACTGCGACCTGCCCGGCCGCCTCCCCTTCACCAGCGGCTCCGCCGTGTCTGGCGGGGGCGGGGGCGGGCGCGATGGCGACCAAAGGGGTGCCCAGAATATTGCGCCCAGCGCCGGGGTGCTCGCGGCGCTGCAGTTCGACGAGACGGGAAAGCCGGAGCCCCCAGGTGGCCCCCCCGGGGGGGCCCGGTGATGGCGGGGGCCCGGGCGGTGGCGGCGGTGGCGGACCCGGTGGTCTTGGCGACCCCATGCTGCAACTATATAGTGCCAACCCTATGGGCCCCAATTGGAGAACTTTCGGAAGCAAGGGGGAGCTTAGCCTCATGGGCATTCCCAGCGCCCAGACCCTGCGGGAATGGAAACAACACTGCGTGAGGGCGGTTGCTGGAGCTTGGCATGGCGTCGAGGCAGCTC